TTCTCACTACTAATCCATGTTAATGAATTTTGTGAGAGAGAGTTTTGTAGCTGAAAGTCAGAGCTATCTTTTGGTGAAGACAAAAGATGGATACCTTGAAAAATGAGCGACCTATTCAAAAAACATGAAGTAACGCACAGACATAAATTTTCAAGAACAAAAACCGAGGTCTCAAATTTTATCTCGTATTTGGTAGTATCGGTTTAGAATATCAAAATAACGATGTTCACTTGTATGTCAAGCTGCTACTACTGTATTTTATGTTTAATAATGTTTCGATTTTTGAAATATGATAAGAGACAAAAGAGCGTTTTGAAGCTATTTTTGACAAAAAATGCTGAATTTGGCTGGTAGCCTACCAGTTCTTCTCGTAATTATTAAAAAGAAATTCGATAGATCGACGCAGAATATACGAAAACCTACATAAAAACTTTAAATGAGTAAGATCGGCTGTTTTGTGTTCGAGAACTTGAGTGCTCGACTTCAATCATGCTGGTTGACCGTTGGCCGTTTTGGCTGTATAGATTTTTTATTTCCTGCGTGAATACAAATAACGCCATTTTTTTGTACCTGCAAAATCATCCTTCGCAACTTTTCTTAAAACTTGAAAATTAATATTTTACATGTAAGACAGAATGCACATTTTCGATATGTGTTTATTCTTGTTAGTCGATTAAAAATTCACAATTACCTTTTATTAATATATTTTCCTTAAGATAATTACAACAATAGAAGAATAAATGCAGATTATTGAACTTGTCTATTCACTAAATAGAATCAATTCATACAGTAAATATGCTTATGCAATAAATGGTTAATGTTCAAGACCTCATCAAATATATTTCTTTTCTTAATTAATAAAATATGATATGTTTATTTCTCAAAACAATCAAATAATTGTCCCATTATATCAATTAATGTCGACGATACTTGTTTCGCTAAATCATCACCCCAAGTAATATCACCATTCGAAAGTAGAATAACACCTAGACTTCGTTTTTCATTTGTCATCATTGTATGAGCAACTCCTGGCATCCATCCACGATGTCCAACTAAATGTCGATTATTTTGATATCGCCAATTCCAAATTAAACCATATTGAACATTAGGTTCGTCTATTGAACCTTCTTGTCGATTAACATGAAGTATTTCATTAATTGATGATAAATTTTGAAGAAGATCAGGAAAAAAATTATTAAGAAAAGATCGAAGATAAATTGATAAAGAATGAGCTGACATACGAAGCATAGCGGATGGATAAACACTAATACCATAATGAGGTATATAAAGCCATTCAGTTGAATTCAAAGCCTATAATATGAAAATCTAATATCAATATTTCTCTTGAAAGTAATCTTACTTGAACAACATTTAATTGTGGTGCTATTTGATGATAAACACTTAGTAATGATACATTGTAAACATAATGTTCAACTAAATCTGTTTGTCTCATTGCAAAAGTTGACATTCGATAGCTTGCTTCAGTATTTGAAATACCCAATGGATCAAGAATTTTATATCTAACATAATTTTCAAATGAAAGATCAGATATTCTTTCAATAATAAGAGCACCCCAAGCAGCACCAACATTTGTATAATATGTTACATTACCGGGTGCTTCAGATAGCCAACTTGCTTTATTTAATAAATATCGAAGAATAACATCGGTTAAATTTGTTTTTAAGAAATCATCTCCTGGCATTCCATGATGAAATTCTTCTTCATAATTTGATCCAAGACCAGATGAATGTGAAAGAATATGACGCATAGTTATTATTGAATATGGAAACAATGGGTGAAGTATTCTCATTGGAAATTTTAAATATTGATTAACATCAACATCAAGATTAAGTTGACCTTGCTCGACTAATTGCATGGTTGCAAGAGCAATAAATGTTTTTGACAGAGAAGCTAAAACAAAAATTGATTTTGATGGATCAATTGGATACTGATTTGAAATAGGTGAATGATAACCAAAGCCTTCTTCATAGAGAATATTGCTTGAATTTACAACAATTGCTGCAAGACCAGGAATATGAACATTTCGTAATTGATTTTCGATTAATGTTCGAGATGGAGGACATTGATGAGCTGTTATAGTTACAAAAAAAGTGAGTAACAAATATAAAAGCATTTTAATCGATGCTTTATGTCTAATATTTGCATATATATATATATATATATATTTGAGAAAGGATTAACAAAGATAAAATATCATTCGACAATATTATCTTTAATTGAGTGAGTCAAGGATTTGAAAAAAGAATGAGGTTCTTTTTATCAAATTAGGCAAACATAGATTCGAAATAGATGTTTCAAATTTACATTTTATTATAGATTAATTATTCAGTCTAGCTTCATTATGTTTTTGAGTACGACTACTATTTCGTTAAACGATGGTTAGAGATAAAAATACGTTTCATCTTATATGGTACAATGATTTCTTGTATGTTTGTAGGGTAACGCCATCTGTTTGTCAAGCAAATTTTGAGGTGCCTTCACAACATTCAGTATGAAAGAAAACTTAAAAAATTTCGTCTTTATTTACTTGATTGTATATAGTCATGGGTACAGGTTCTATCAAAAAGCATCTTATGTCTACAGATGAACTGAAAACAAAAATATCGTCAGTCTATGCACCTTTAGAATCACTCACTGAATCAGTTATACGTTCTGTAATTTCAGTCGTAAGTTTATCTAATGACCGAAGTTCAGATTATAGTCAACGTACTCTTCTCATTTTCTTACTTGCAATAAATGAAAAATTAAAAGAAATTGAAAACAGCACAGATGCAAGTGGACAAATATCCGATGAGAATATCATTCAACATGCGAAAAAAGTTCGTCAATGGCTCGTATATAATAATAGTAAGCCATTGGACTGGAATCAACTTAGTGAAGCATATGATGAAATGACCAAGGAACACCGTAACAATTTGATGCATTATTGCGGAGTCAAAGATCCAGATTCTTACTTTGAATTAACAATAAAAACTGTGAGTTGTACAGAATTCTATAGTATATATTTATTTAAAGTTCCAAGTTCTTTGTTAATAAAAGATTAAAAAGCTAGTCTTATGATCAGTTTATCTATCCACAAGAATAATAATTATGAGCAAAATCTTAGAAGAATCAGTAGAAATCGTTATGGCATATTCTGATAACATTTTTCAGTTTCTTTAATAATTATCGCAACCAAAACACTTGTCATGCTATTGTGATCAATTTATCAAATTCTATAATTTTGTTATTATGATACTAATACTCTAAGATGCATTTCTTTAATAAATCTTTTTAAAACTTATGGGTTTTCTATACATATCAATAGGCAGAAGTGTTTGTTCAAAAGTTTCAAATTTAATTATCATAGCTACATTAAATTCAAAAAAAATAGAGACAATAATATTCAGTATACGAGTAAAAGTTTGGAGCCCCCCCCCCACTTAGATGATCCCTTGGTTTTTTGAAGAATTTAATCAGATAAGACAATTTTATGCAAATTCTATTTATTTAGAGATTCAATGATGTAAAACGATCTCGTGAATACATGGATAAATTTCGCAAGGATGGCTTTAAGCCTGAAGAACTTAAAATCTATTGGAATGCAGAACAGATTGAAACTCTCTGCCCCAAAGAAGGAGAACAGTCAGAAATAAACCCCCCACATGATCCATCAGATATCAATGCTATTGAAAATCTTCGAAAGTTTCCTGTTTGTAATCGAAATCATTGTGTCAAGATTGATTATGTTAACAAAGGAATTGAAAAAGCTGTTTTTGATGTACCTGAAGGTGCTCAAATTATTGTTTTAAATTTTGCGGTAAAATATTTTACGGGTAAATCTTATCAATTCTATTTGAACTCCATAGAACGAACAATCACCAGGGGGCGGTTATTTAAGACATGCACGTAAGTAATGTTTATCTCAAGTAAAAGCAAAAAATAATCATCACAATGTTTTTAATTTGCAAAATTTTACTGAAAAATATCCATAGAAATAAATCTTTAACATCAATACAATTGATTGTGTTATCTAGGAGCACAAGAAGAAATTATTCTTTACAATTCCGATGGTTATCGAGCATTACTTGATCTCAAATATACACGAATGGGTGGTGGTTATGCTATACCTGAATTTGGATGTGCCTATGTTCGTGATATACGCTTTTTTGATTCAGAATCAAACGAACGATATCGTTTAGCAGATATGCTGGTTTCTGCATGTTATTGTTTGAACGGATCCGAGCTTTATGATAATCCGAGAAATTCTGAGGTAATTATGAAGAGGTTCTTTTTTAATTGAAATTCATTAACATCTTCATCGATTTATTAATATTGATTAAGAAACTAAAATGTAAAGAAAAAAAATATTTTTTAGTTGAGAAAAAATAATTTGGCTAAATTTCGTGCATTTATGGCAGCAGCTGTTGCAAATACAATAGGTGATGGTAGTAATACTTATCTTTTACTTGGACCTATTGGTACTGGTGCATTTGGAAATGATGTTGACGATATAGCTGAATGTTTTCGTGACGTACTCGAAATGCCAATGATGAATTCGAAACGACCTATTCGTTATGCTTTTGGTCATATTTGGTTTGTTTCAATAGATGATTGGAAAAATGATACTTTCAAGGAAATCTTGCCTAAAAGTGAATCTGATAATGTTGAACAATCTTAATGTATTTTTATATTGTATTAAAACATGAAAACAATGTATTAAAATATTTACTCTATCCATGAAACAAGTCTTATACTTTTTTTTAAACTTTATTTGAGATATATTTAACAATTTAATTAAAAATGAGAGTCGAAAATATATTGTTGTGTTTATTGTTAGAATTATAACATTCATGAGAACTTCTTTCCTTAGGATTAATTTTATGCTATTTTGATTTTTTGTTTTCAACTCACAGTATTTAGACATAACGCACTCTTCGTTACAAATATTGAATACTGTTCAATTTTCAAAGAAAAACTGACAAATAAATCATGCATTTCAATAAAAAAAAAAAGAATCGCTCAATGTTTAATTTGGTCGAATTCGTGATCATCGATGGCAACTCGAAAATACAGTCAATTCACAGATTTTACATGTGTCGACCTCATATGCCTAACAGAAATTAAATTCGCCTTGTTTTACTTTTCTATGCTCACACTTTCGCTGCAACTGTAATTAACAAGAGGAAGTGTGAACCTAGCAGGGTTAGGTATGGGTGAGGTTTATGTTCCACCGGCACTCACATCCTCAAGCATGAACTAAATAAAAGAATTCACTAAGAATATTGAACAAAGCAATGGTAGTCATAGCAACTCGAAAACGAACGAAACAATAAAGTTGTCTATAACTTGCATTTTTCTATTTATTTTTAAGATAAAAATATTGAACGATTCATAATGAATGACTGGTGTTAGTTTTTTTCTTCAAGGCAGTTGAAAGTCATTTTTAAAATTTGGGTGTGGGTGTGAGTGCTTTGAATTAAAAAAAGAGAACTCATATAGATTTGTTTGAAAAGAACTTTTTTTCGGCATTTTCTATTTTAGAACATTGGCACATAAAATATTTATTTTAAAGTCTGGGAAAAGATGTAGAATTTTGCATGGACTATTTTTTTGACTATGGTAAATGGCCAATTGAGTCGACGTTGATCTTTTTAATTTTACATCAATAAGGAGAAAGATTAAAAACAGGTTTTACACTGCACTAAAACGATGGAAATGAAAACCGATCATTTATTATGAGTCACCCGTTATTTCTAAATGACAAACGAAAAATAAACATTCGAAAAAAACAGTATATAGTTCGTAAGGTTTGTTAATTAAATTTGTTTTTGATTTTTTATGACTTATAAATGTCGCTATAAAGAGAATGTTTCCACCATGTACATGGTGTCAAATTTATTGGATCGACATATGATACACGCATCATTAATCCATAACAAATAATATCCTGCTTAATAAATTGCTCATCATGTTTGCCTAATATAATCCATTCTAGTTCGCCATTATCAAAATTTGGATCTATCGTTACTGTTTGTTTATGTTCTTTTGGTATTAATGTTTCTGAACTGATTTTATCAACAGATGCTGGATTAACTCGACATTGAAAAACTAACTGATACCAACGAGTTTCACCATTTTTTTTTACCTGCTTCCATGGTAATGCATATCGTGGATGACCACAATATTCAATACTTGGTGAGACATAAACTCGTGGTACTTCATCACCATAAAAACATCCTGCTGTGCTAACTCGAAGACCTGAAGTAAGGATATTTGATGCATATTCGTTCCGTGTTCCATGATATGCAACATACCAATCACCCCAACGAGCGTCAAATTCTTTATTATCTTCAGCTACTTTAACACCGAAACGTATCCAACCTATATATGAGAAAAATCTATGCATGTAAAATATTGCTTAAAAAATGTTGCTTTACTAACCTGAAGGACAATAATAAGGTTTACCACCTTGATTGATTGGATTTGGCCAATATTGTCCTTCATCAGGATTATTATTCGACCAAGCATACTTTTTATTCCATCTAGGATCCATCAATCTATCTTCAATTTTCAAACCAAATTCACCAAGTGTAATTGATTCAACATTCGCATTGAGATCACAACAACATTTACGTATTGCTTGCATTCGTGCAGCAGCATCCGGAGCAGTACCATTTAAACTATCGACTACAACCTTACCATAAGGTGGTTCAATATACATATATATCATGGCTTCATCAGATTCAATACTATCAACACGTATAGATTGAGTCGGTATAGCAAAAGCTTGGCATAAAGCTGCAACGAATCGTTCTTGAATTCCATCTGTATTGACTGCCCATTGTTTCATATCAGTTCTATCTGCATCCAATCGAATTGTAATGGGCAGTGCTTGAGCTGAAATATTTTGGGGAAAAAAATGCTAATTACAATCTAGCTCATCATAATTTATTCAAGACAAAAAAAATAAACTTACATCTATATGATGAACTACTTCAAAAAGGGTGTGGGTAAAATTTATTTGAATTATAATTCTATGTAGCAAAACGTTTATTGCAGAAATAATACGTTTCGATACAAAGTTGTCAGTGCAGTCCCTTCGGAGCCGAAATGTAGAACACACATGTGTTTTTTAGTCTCATTATACTAATATCAAATACGTAGAGTGAAAAATCTCAAGCAAACTATGATTGTTTTCCAAAGACAATCGGTCGGGAGAGAAACGACTTGTCGTATTTATGCCTGTATTTCTAGCAGAAATTTTATTCTTCTTTTTTATTTGTCTTGTTGCTATTTGCTCGTTATTTTTCTGTTTTTCTTAATTTACCTAGCAAATAATCCTGTCGTATATATCCATTATATCGACAGTGAGTCGCAATGCACTATTATACATATTGATAAGCTAACAAATACTAATATTGATTATATATATCCTAAAGTTATAACTTGATCAATTCACATTTTTCAGGTTGACCATATGACGAGTGTGGCAAATCAATGCATCACTTATTCATCACCTTGCCATCTTAAATATAAGTTTTGATCTGTTCAAAAATCATAAAACCACACTATTTAGAACATTGACAAAAGTATTTCAGTTATTCTAATTTCAACGAAAGCTTTTCAATGTTCTAGAACAGTCTAATGAGTGAACCTCTCAGATTTTCACTTCCAGTTTCTATAAATTTTCAACTATAGATACTGTATAGTGTTCTAATAAAAATCCTAAAACGATTAGGGTTCTTAATGGAATTTGACGACTAACGAGGGAATGTTCCTAACTGTTTAATCGTTTTTTACACCAAATCTAGTGGATTTCAGAGATCATTTCTGAAAAAAACTTGTGTGATTCATTCGGATTGTATAGCCCATCGAGTTCATTATAGAATGCTATTGTTTTCTTTCGACAACCACTATTAAGGCCACCAGAAACATAACTCTTTCTTTTTCCTTCTAATTCTTGCAGAAGAAAGAGTCCTACTTTCTGTAGACATCATAAAGACAAGAAAGAATTGTTTATTATGACGTCAATAATGGTTCTTGAATAGAAAAAAAAAATGAATAGTGTTTCATAGCCAACTCGATGTACTATACAATCTGAACGAATGAAAAATATTTTTGACGAAAAAATTTTCTCACTAAACAAAACTAGTTTTTCAAAAGCGAGTTTCTCGATTCCTAGTTGCCAGTCTTGTACTGATGTTCGAAATCAGAATGATCTATTACCTGCTGGTGAAACAAACGATTAGACAGCTAGAGACTTTTTCTCGCATTGAACAAAGTCTCTTCGAGAGATATGAGACTTTCAAGACATAGATTCTTTTTCGTGGATACTGTATGCAGCCTGCATTATTTGAAAGCTTCATATCTCAAAAAGACTTCGTTCAAAACTTTTGAATTTTTTTGTAGAAGCTAATCTAGTTGAGTTCTCTGCTTGCACAAAATTTCAGATCCAAATTCGAAAATATGAGTTTTCTGAAAACCTGGGGTTCTAGCAAATAGACATATTAAAAATTTGATGTCTTAGTCAAATCTCAACACGAAGCCAAATCATCTTACGGTTTTCTTCAGAACATCATGCAGGCAGCGGTTGTTCCGGTTTCTAAGAAAATTCAGCAAAGAAGTCTGTTCCGTGTTGTCCTTGTTTGCTAGGAAAACATACCTAATCATCGGTGATCTCTTCCTCCTTTGCTCGGGGCTATGGGGAAGGGAACCACAGAGATCTGAAATCAAACTTACATTCTCTATTTTTGTTCGAAAATATATATGAGTTTCACAAAATGAAATTGACGAACAACTACATGGCTATCTGTAGTAAAAACTAAATAAATTCGATTTTTTTTTTGCTGATATTTTACGTGATCTTCAGAAAATTTTCATTTGCACTCACTAGTTATTGCTTACTTTGTGGATCTTTAATGTCGCCTGAAATAACTGGAAGATTTTCTTCATCGGTTCCTTTTCGTTTATTAATTGTCTTTTTCAATTGTTGTTCGAATCGTTCACCATTTGTTGATCCAACAGCTAATCGACATAGAAGAGCAGCTAAAGCTAATCTTTTCGCTTCTTGAGCAATTCGTCGTCGGCCAAATTCTGCTTTGGCAGCTTCCATTCTAATATTAACTAATTTTAATAAAAAAGCGTTTCATTGAGAGAAAAGAAAAATATACTAACAATCGTCTCTACATACATGGATCTACTTCTTTGTGATTACGAATTTCATCACGTTTTGCAATCCATTTTTTAGTATAATCAATAATTTGTTTAATATTACTATTATTTAATTGATCAATAAGTTCTTCAGCATTAATTTTATCTCGATTTTCTTCATCGATTATTAATAAACGTTTAACAAATTTACGAATAATATCAAGTTTTTGTGGTTCAACAGATACTACTTGTCTTGCAGCCATAAGTTTTTTTGCATTATCAATTACTCGACTTGTCGAAGATAAAATAGCAAAATTATTTTCTGTAATAGCTGGATTAATTTTAGTATTACGACGATTAAGTTCAGCTACCGTAGATCCATATGTATCTTTCCACCATTTTTGAGAATTTTGAACAACATTACTCGAATCACTTTGTTCTAAAATACTATATAATGTCTTAAAATTATCTTCAAATTCTTGTAGTTGACGAAAATAATCAATTGCTTCATTGCATGATTCAACAAATTTTGATGTTCTTGGTAATGGCTGAGCTAAATTACGTATTCGAATAATATAATTTGAACAAGCATTTACTTTTGTAGAAATTTCAGCACGTAATGTATCAATACAACTTTGATCATCAATAATTGATTTTGGTTTGTTAACATTTTCATCATCATCACAAAGATCTTGAATAAATTGATCAATCAATGCTTGATCTTCATAATGTGTACCTTTATTCTTTGGAATAGGTTTATTTTTATTGTAAATAATTTTTTCTTGTTCAATTTTATCATATGCAGTTACTTCTTCTTGTTTAATTGCTTCTAAACGATCATCAATAAATTTAACTTGATCATCAATAAATTGGCCAAGACAAAAAGCTAAATCAGCATCCATTGTTTTCTTATGACATAGAAAATAAAATTATGTCAAGCAATGATGAATGGCACATAAATAAAATTTTGCATTTCACGAATGTTTTTTTTTCCTTTTTTTTTAATAATAGAATTTTTGGTGAAAAAAAATACTTTTGTTTTTTAATAATTCCTGAAGAAAGAATAAGACAAACAGTGAAGAATTACTCATAGTCTGGTCTGTTGGTTTGCTTAAATTCATGCAATTTTTTCTTTTCAAACATCCATAACAACACATACCACCGCGCGTCTAAATGAAAACAAATACTTTAGTGACAGGGACTCGAATAGCAAGCTCTTAAGGAAATATTTTACATGCTTTTTCCTTTGAAGAAATTATTCATTTTCTTTCGCATAAAACAGTTTATCTGCTACGACAACAAAAAAAAAGAAAATTTCTATGCCTTGATTTTAAATGGAATAAATACATTACGGTTAGTTAATTCAAATAATTCTAATGACTTATAATTTCAATCGAAACTTTATAACAAAATACACGTCCGAATAATAGAAAATATAATATGATTACTTCATCAATATAGCAAACATTTCTTGTCGGATTAATGCGTTGTAAGCAATAGAAGATTCCTCTTAATTATACTCAACCCGTTGACTTTCGAATTTTATTTTATAATAATCGAAATTTTTATAAATGTTTAAATATAATTTTTTCAAAGAAATTAATTCTGTGTCAAAAAAAAAAATATTAATAGTTTGTTTTTGTATGATAGCCTTTAAAGTAATCAACCATATATAGTGGCAGGCAAGTGTGAAATCCAGTTGAGATTAGTATAGCATTTTTTTAATATTTTCTAGTAAAAAATATCGCTAACTTATAAAAATAGAAACATTGCTTATACAATAACTAAGTAAATTCTTTTCGTTTTTCTGCAATGAATACAAGTTTCCGTTATAATTTTTCCGAATAACAGAGATATTGAATGATTTGTGAGTTTTCAACAATTGGTAAATAGAGTTTTTTCAAAGCATTAACGAAGGAAGATTTTCATTCAGTATTCTCCGATGAATAATATAATATTGAAAACTTGAGTTCTATATAAATATTTTATATTTTTTAGAACAATTGAATTCAAAGTATAACGAGCAGGGGTAGGAGAGGGAGGTTTTCAAAAGTAAAAGTGCATTATATCATTTTAGATAGTACAATGGATAGTATATGCACATAATGGTTCTAATATAAAAATTTCGAATTTAGTCAATATCATTGTTTAGCGTAAATTCAAAAACTGAAATACATAAATATTTTCAAAATGATGCAATAAATAATTGTAAACCTAGGAATTATCTTATCAAAAGTTTAATATAACAATAAACATAAATTACTGTATGACTTATCCGATCAAAATAATAGAGCGTATAAAAAACTGAAATGCACACAATAAAAATCATTGCTTTTTTATTAGTAAAATAGAAAAAAAATCAACGAAACCAGTTTTTTTTTACTGTTGTATTTAACTTGAGTCTATTTTGTGGAAACTACACAATTTCTTTCGAAGTAGTCATTGAGAAAACGTTAAAAAAACTTTTCCAAATAGTTAAAGAATATGCTAGTAACACTTTTGTCCAATAACTGCATCCGGACGTATTTAAATACGTCTCCGGAAGTCAAAGAATTAATTTCTCGAAAAGTATGGTAACTTGTACGTTTTAGAAAATTTAAATTTCTGTACATTATTATGCGATGAATGATACAAATTAAGCAATACTACTGCAAACATCTAAAATAATATCGATGATGTATAGCTGAAATTTATCTTTAAACATTCAATTCAAGTGACACACAACTCTTTGTTTGACGTTAGATTAGACTGAGAAATTCGTTTTATTATGACAAGTATATAAGGTGTGGTTGTGCGTACTGGTGTTGCTGTTGGATGAGCACGTGAGTGTAGTTGAGTGTGTGAGTAAAGAGAAGAGCGTTACCTATGCTCACACTCTTATATCGATTTGATCCATCTTTCTACTTGCATAATTGTTAGCTATCTAATTTTTTTATTTTAGAAGTCAAAGAGAAGTTAAAACAACTACTTTATAGTGCTAGTCATTAATGCTAGTATTCAAGTTGCTTAAGACAGAGTCCACCAGACCACCAACCAAGCCGACCGCAGCTAAATTTCTTTTTGGATTGTTTTTAGAACAAACGAAAGATCATATCAAGAAACCTATAAATCCAAAATATCAAGTTTTTCTGGGGTACTTGAAAAAAATGCCGAGGATCACAATCTTCAATTTTTTCTGGTTAGACCGTAAAAATTAAAAAAATATGGTTTTCTTACATTTTGATGGTATCTTGACATTTTCTCTACCTCTGTTCATTGCTTTAAGTCGAGAGAAATCTTAAAGGATGCAGAAGAGAGTTTTCCACAAAATGGACTATCTCAATAGTCATCCCAATAAATTTCAATAGTCGATTGTATTACCACAAGAGAGAGAGTTTATGATCGTTGTTTAGCTAATACTTTGTCTCCAACCTAGTCGGATAATTTCATCCCAAAAAAATGAATCCAGTTTCTGAAAGCTCTTGAAATTCTGCATGTTTGAATATATTTCTCAATGTACAAGGAGCCGGACACTCATTTTTAGTAGGCACTACATTTGGGGCACTATAAATATCCTCAAGAGCCATTTTGGTTGGTAATTGGCTACTGCATAGACTATATTTGTCCCAAATAAGAATCTGACTGCAAATTCATGATCAGCATCAAAAATTGAGTATAAAAGTACTATTTGGTTGAATGTATGCTTAATTAAGTTGAAAAAATCATGTCGAGTAAGACTAGTCTGAGTTTATCTCAGAGTATATGTTTATAGGCATCTTGGTCAGTCAATGAAGTCTTTTGTAAGAAAAGATTAAATGAAGTATTTTTTATCTCATTTTAGATCACTAGAGTCTAAGCTTCAAAAGTAGTTTTTTAAAATTTTCTTAGATTGTTTGTTTATGTTGAGAAAACGGAATTTTTTCTCACACCTGTGCCAAAAACCATATAAAACTGTTAGGATGTGGAATATGAAATGTGAGCAGGGGCATAACCAAGGAAGGGAAAAATGGGTAATTGCCTATACAATTTGGAGATTGGCCTATTGTAATTTTACTTTTTTAGAATTGTTTATTTATTTTTGAATTAAATAGTAACTGTTTTTGTTTTTCTTCAGTCTGAATCACACATGCACTCTTTCGTTGTTGTCCTTATAAAGAATTAAGAAAAGAATCGCTTATTGTATTTTAACTGTGAGTTTGACTGAACGTGAGTTCGGTTTTATTGGAAAAACACTAGCCATATAAAGGTAGAGTAGGATAGATTACAGAGAAGAGAAACAAGAATACAGAGCAGGAGGACACATACGAACATATATGTGTAGATGCATATAGAAATAGTGACGCATACAAGAGAAAGGAAAAATCTAATGACGTATTTGCGAAAACATAAAGGAAGAAACGAAGATGTGAACTGACCTAGTTCGTAGGGATTTTGGTGTTTGAATTTGAAATATAAATGTTATAAACAGAGACATTAAAAATAGACAAAAACACACCTGACTTAGGCTTAAGATCTGAGTTTGATGTATATTTAATTAAAAGAACCTCATTTCATTTTTTTTGTGTTTGCTTTACGTTATCAGTAATTGTTGGGTCAAAAAGGTTTTGGCCTATCAATAAAAACCTTGTCCATCGTTTTTCTCCGACACAAGAGAAATTTACTCATTGGTCTAAAAGCTCTGGTTACGTCGCTGGACGTGGGTGTGAACGAGGGTGAGTGTGGATGGAAGTTTCTAACAAGTGACGTACCCACACCTATACCCACAACCACACTCATCCACACCCACCTACACTCGACCCTGTGAGTGCCGCTGTTAAAAGTTAAATAGTTGAATTGACTACAGCTTCTACACTACTGATCTAGGCATACATTCACCGTGATAGAAAAGTTAAATGCATATAAAGTAGAGAAGAACACCTCAATTCATTACCAACACTGAGTACGTAATGAAAACTAATTTTGTGATGATTTTTAGATAGAAGAAGGGTTAGTGTAGATAGAATTACATTTTATTTGGCTTCTTCATATCATAAGTCGCCACGATTTCATAGAAAGCAAACGCTTATCTACTCAAGCATCAAAACTAAGCAATCATAATAATATAACAGTGTGAAATATAATACTACAAGATAAGGACAAAACTTAGAGGAAGAGTAAAGTGCATGGCAAGGACAAAATAGTGGGCAAGTTTAACGTCATCGTTACAAATTTGAAATGTCTTATCTTTTTCTTTCAGTACTTTTCCAACTTACTTCAGAAATTTAATGTCTCTTCCTACCGATATTTTTTCCAAGTTAGGTTTTTTCTCTTTCTTCCCTCGACTATCATTTGTTTGTTAACCGTGTGATAAGATTGAGAAAAGAATTGAGCTGTGAATACTATTATTTAACTAATAACAAGGTCGGCCAAAGCCATCTCACAGTCGCGCGTCTATCTGTTCTGAAGTGAGTATTAATACGAGTTCTCATTTTGATCAGACGATATTATCTATTCGACAATCGTTGAGTTATCATCAGCTGTGCACCATTCTCAGTTTGCTGGATATTCAGTCGGATTAGTTTTGGTGCATATCTAGCTGTCATAAATCTCGTTCCATCTTAGCACACATCTCGTCATTGATTATTGTTCTAGTAAATCTCTTCCTGAATAATACTGTTATTGCTATTTGTGATGTTTCGGCAAGTCAATGCTGCCTTCTTCAGACTTTATTGATAGAAATGAATTAACATAGAGTTTAAATACAAATTAGAAAAAATGTACTCGAATACACTCTAGATTCTTCTTCCTTTTTCTATTCTTCTTTTTCT